AATATTACACAGAGACAGGAGTCCAGTGAGACTCCATCCAGTGAGAGACCATGGTTGGGAAATTCAGGGGGAGAACTTTACAAGCCACTGGGTGATTCATGGCTGCTGAAATGCAAATGCAGAAAACCAATATAACACATTTAGATATAGCCTTGCCCAAAGATAGCACGGAAACAAGATAAGTTGGAAAAGTGCAAAGTCACAGCTTTACTGTAATAACATAAATAATTTCAAACAGCGAAAATTTGACCTGTGTCAGTACAAATCATATAGTGAGCACACCATATTGACCTAGCCCAAATGCACGTCTTTACAGTAAGTGCCAAACAAGCATTCAAACTATCCCAAAACCCAGAAGAGCATAAAATGTTAACAAACATTAACTGCTGGCGAGGTCAAACTGCCTAGCAACCTCTGATGACAATTTTCAGATGAGGGGAGAGTGGGCATGCAACTCTACAGACAGATGGCAAATCCTCAGGGTCTGTGCTTAACCTCAATGTGATTCTAAACAGAGCTTAGGAATAACCCCAACACCCTTTATAACTGCAAACCCAACCTACACCAAATATAACTGCAAACCCAACCTACACCAAATATAAAACATGTTTTATGTGCAGCAACACCCTCCTTAAAGTACTTCAAACAGTCAACATCCCTTTTATAATCCTGATATCAGTATTGGAAGCATGGATTAACAAACCAATGAACTCCCATAGTTTTGTTTCTCTATAATTAAGTTCTAAATGGATAACGGTTTATAAACCTGTCACTTTGCTATCTATTGCCAAGAATGCAAAGACCTTGTTTCTTGCTCTATCCAAGCACACACGCACAAATGGCAGAGAGGAGCTGGTTCATCGGGAGGCAGATTGCAGCAAGAAAACACAGCGGGGGACAGTGGTTAGTTAAGTGAAACATAAATAATCAGTATGCCTTTTCAGCTACAAGACTGCTGAAAAGCTCTTTATTTTAATGGCAGTGTTCTCTTGTAGATGGCAACGTTAAAATCTGATTATGCACAGCATATGCTGCCCTACCAACACCATTTGTCAACTTCTTTAGACATGACACCATTCTGGAATCAGTCTGATTGAAATCTCCAAGTGGGAACAGAGAGTCTGAAGTAGATTGAGTGACTGGCAGGAAGAAATAATCCACAACAATTCGGCCATTATGTAACTACAACTCTCATCTTGACTGGCATTTGGCAGGCACCCAGCTTCAAAGTTAAACTTAATGTTTTCTGAATGACCTCAAATGATTAAAGAAGTTAGCCTGCCAAAATGTAATGAGTTTTTGCTCTTTTAAGCCTTCATTGGCTAGCCTTGTTTTGATCAATAAGAAGTAGGTTCTTTTACTTTAAAGTGCAGCTTTCATTGCCCCCTTTCTGACGGATTGCTGTGATATATTAATTAGGCAAAGCTTTAAAACGTTCTGGGAGTGACAGAGCTCGCCTGCTCCCTCACACATCATAAATCACAATGGCCAATCACTGCCTCACTGGGTAACAAATGTGGTGGGGGTGGCCAAGGTCCATCACTACCAGAAAGTGCCAGAGTTTTGCCTAACCAGATTAGCCTGACATTCAGAAGTAGAAGGGGCAAAAAAAAGCTACTATAGGCATTTTCAGTTACCTCTTGGGACCTACACTTTATACCTGCTAGCTGCTTTACCTGAACCTATTCAAATGACCACCTTGGGTGCACAAACATCTGTTTGAGAAACTCAAGGGAAGGCTTAGTGAGTAACATCACAGGTCTCAGTGACATGTGGTACCTTCCGCACTAGGTGAGGCATTCCCCACCCCCAGCCCACCGAGGCCCGGTCCCCAGTCTACCAAAGCCCCAGCCCATCGAAGCCCCACCCCCCAACCTGGTCACCAAGCTATGTGTGGTGGAGACACTGTCCCTTTTTCGCTTGTCACTGGTGAGGCATCCAGATTGATGTCCTCAGTGGGTTTTTTTTCTTCTTTTTTTTGATTAGACAACTTTGCCATTGGTCCAAACCATCCACAGAGCTCAAGCCTCTAACGTAGAGTGGAGGCTGTTGCAGCTCTTGCCTCACCACGTTAGGGGACACATGCAGTGGGGAAGCCCATTTAATTAACAGGCAGCGCTCCGTCCATGACAGGTTACATTACATTTTTCATTGGTCAGGGCTGCGTTTGGCTTTGCCCACACAGCCGCATCATCCATTCACAGAACCTTTGACAGGATCTGTGGATGAAGAAACTACAAGTCTCATTAGACACTGCAGCAGAGGGCCCCATAGTTTTCAATAGAATACAAGTGAGGTGACACACTCGTAGTCCATTGACACTTCCTTTAATCCCTGTTACTGAATGTCCATACCGAGGTTTGGACACAGATGGGAGAAAGGGTCTGCAGGAGCCAGAGCATTGCACCCACACACTGATTGCGGTTGCAATGCTTTACTGGCTCCAATACAAAACTATAATAAATGCACATTTGTTCTTTTACGATGAAGTTTGTATTTTAATTTTTTTTAAAGATGGATATTCCCTTCAATACATTATACATCTGAATGCGATGAATGCGACAGTCACAGCCTCTTGCAGTGTACTGTACAGCAGATTTCAGCTAAGGTGAAGAGAGACCCAGCACAAGGAGTCTTTGCTTGATGAGACA